AATAACTGTAACAACTAGGATGAAAAGGTCTTTTTTAAACTGTTCAGGGCAAAATATGAGCATTTTGCAGTTGATTCTGGATTTATATTTTTATTTGCAAATCAGAAAAAAATGAAGCGGCGAATCCGTTAACCAAGAAATTAAATTGGTGTGGCCTAATATAATGTTTTATCAACAAAACCATCTAGGTGTGGTCTAGTGTCTGCTTTCTACAGGCATGTATTTCTAAAGGTCTCTATCTCATTGTTAAGACTTAAACGTCGTGAATTCTTAGATAATTAGTAAGATAACATCCAACAAGGGTGTATTTTTATCTCAGAATAGATCATAATTACATATAATTACACTGACGTGATCAGTTGACATTGTTTACAAACATTCTTCCTCTAACACTGTGTGAATTTCGATAAAAAAACTATGGAAATGCTTCTTTTAATCACACATAATATTAAAATTATTATGACTGATCTTTTATTTCTGTATTTATGTCTTTTACCTGCAGAAAATGCCAATTTCACCTTTTGTTTACATGTATATTGTGCACGTAAATTCTGTCTAGCAGACGCAAGTTTTAAAAGTCAAAGATCAAAAGATTATACTGTCCTATTGTGTGGATCTGTTGTTTCCGTGTGGTGTATGACGTCAATTGGGATGGTCTTTTGTCCCCCAGGTATGATAATTGTCGCTCGTTACAGGGCTACCATGACACTAAGGACTCACCCTGTGTCGTAATGAGTGGTTACACCCAGTTTCTGATGTAGATAAGAACGAATTCTGCCAGTAATATATAGTTCCTTATGATTATCTCTCCAACAAAGTCCAACAAAGATGACACCTTTATCAACACTTAACCAGGCCTCGAAATTAACTTTTTTCACTATTGTCCCAGAATTGTCCCGAACATAGATTTCAATTGTCCCGAACTGAAGATGGACTGTCCCAGCCTGCTTTTCAGGAAACAAGTTGATGACAAAAATAAGAAAACAACAACTGAATTTGTACAACTTGAAGTCCACTTTATTAGTAAATGTAGGGAAATACATGATAATATCATGGGCATGGCACCGTCCCTGATATTTGGAATCCCTGATTGGTCAAATTTAAATGTTTGTCAGAGTATTATATATTTATAGGCTGCCAGCAGTCTGCAGCAGGATGGATGGATCGCGTTCCCAAATGACGTGGATGGTCTTAGAATTTTCCAATTGCCCCAAAATTGTCCCGAAACGTAATTTGAATTGTCCCAAGCTGAAAATTTAGTGTCATTTGACACTGGGACAATGTTAATTTCGAGCCCTGCTTAACTCGTTAAAGCACAAAGTACATGTAGGTGGAAACTATTGCTATAGGGTCATATCATTCCTCCATAGAATTTGCATGCTTGTGATCAGCCAAAAACTTTCTAACACTTCTTTTTACCATTAGACAACCAACAATCTAAAACCATACAAAATCTATAGTCAAACCAACAAATGAACCAAACAACAAACAAATAAAGCTGAAAACTTTGCCAAGTATTTGTCTGGCAATAAAAAAAGCAACAACAATGAATAACCGGTATACCCTTCTGATCACTGAAGGAAACTCATTTTTATGATGCCTTCAAGGAGAAATCCAGCATTGAGACATAAAACCTGTCCATATCTCATTCTCACAGATTCCCACATATTGTGAATCAATGCCTGGTCACTTATCACATGGATGCACATGGTCACAACAGTATCCAGGAGGAATATAGTATAATCCAGACAGATTGATGTGGGCGTTTACCTCCTAAATATTTCACAAACACCCCCTTAAGCTTGCATTGCTTCTTGGTTATCTGATCCGAAGCAAGGAGAGTGACTGAGGAGTGTAAGAAATATGTCCTTGCCTCAAGCCTTCAAGGACGCTAATCTATTACCTACATGTACATACATGTAGAGAAGAACTTTATTGCACGACATGGTACAATATACATTGTATGGCAACGAGCCAACTACTTTTGAAAATAGTACAGAAAAGAAAAGAACATGCAGTTACAATAGTGGGATACAGATTACTGCTTTTTACTGTTTCGTTTCTTCTTAGTTAAAAACAATATAGAATTTATTAGAAAAGTTAACTCTAAGAGATATAATTGTTTATATCTGTTTCTTTTCGTCTTTTGTTTTTCTTTTTGTCTTTAGAAAAGGGAGATAATATACATGTAGGGAGATGATAACATAGAAGACCACCTGTTGGTGATCTCATCACAGAAGGAGCATTTCACACAAAATTACATGTAGCTGGTTTATTTTCAATTTGTCTACATGTATGTTGGATATAACGCATTATTATGCCAAACATAAAAGCACCGATGCTTTCGGAAGGTCAAGAAACAATTTGGATTGAAAACCAGCCATACCGCCTTTTTAGGCGTAACACACCAATTTTGTACAATGTCAATGTTAAGTACAAGCTGCGTAAGACTGGACTGTAGACTTTGAACCACTCACACCGGGAAGGACCCCTACTCTTTTCGATAAGTGCGGGGGGTTCTTTAACATACGTGGGTTGTGGCTCTCCCAAAACCAAGACCTCCATTTAACGTCCTATCCGAGGGACGTCCCTAACCGAAGCTAGATACTCATTTCCACCTGAGTGAAGTGAAGAAAGTTGTGTAAAGTGCCTTTCCCAAGGGCACAAAATTGGTGGCATTGGTAGGATTCGAACCCGGGACCTCCTGGTTCTGAGTCGAAAATGCTGCGGTTTACGCCACACGACCCACTGTGCAGCAGCACAAGCAGATTTCATTTTCCTCAAGAGATTTGGTAGCCCTTTGGCAATGCACATGTTCTGTGTATAAAGTATGCAATTATAACAGATGATGATGGTGTTTACATGCTGCGGTGACTGATTGATTACTAGTAATTAAGATTGACAGCTGCCTAGGGGGGCGCCACAGATTTCCTTTCATCACACAGAGTCCGGCAAGTAATTTTCTCCAACAGTTGGTATTATCTCAGCTTGCTGAATAATGGTTTCAACTTTCGTTCACCCACACATAATCTTTATTTTCTTTGCACCTGTGGAGACAGGAACAATATGGAAAGCGGGGGAAGCCGTGTTTCTTAGGCCAAGGGAAGTACTTTTAAGGATGACATCAGCGCGTGCATTAATTTTTGGCTAATTTTGGAGAAAAAAAACAAGAAATGCTGAAAAATGGGTGAATATGTTGTAAATACAAAATGTACCTATCGGTTCGGAGACCGTTGGGGATCCAGCAAACTTGAGGCACAATGGTTTGCGTTTGATCGCAAATATTGACACTGACACGTGTCCAATCCAACCCAGTATAGCAGCTGCCAATGATGGTACTGCTAGCCACTTTGCTAGAATATCTACATGTAGTTACATGTAACTGAGGTCTTCACACATCTACAAGGACAGGTAATACTGTGCAATACAAGAAGCTCTGTTTGGTTGTGATATCATATTTCGTCAACTAATTCTTGTTTAACAAGGCTTTAAAAAATCACCTCAAAATTTGAAAATGAAAGAATTTTTTTCGTCCTATTGCATTAGATTTGGAGTCTGCGGAGGATGATTGTCATCCATAAAATTTACTTGCTGTGGCCTTAGGCTACACCAATTTAATTTCTTGGTTAATGGATTCGCCCGCTTCATTTTTTTTCTGATTTTAAAAAAAAACTGAATCAACTGCAAAATGCTTATATTTTGCCCCGAACAGTTGAAAACAGTACTTTTCTTCCTAGTTGTTGCAGTTATTCCATCTTTCAATGTAGTCTTTCAATGAAAGTTCAAAATTCATTGTTTAAATTTTAAATGAACCAGCCTGGTGTGTTGACTTCATGGCTCCTATCGTACCATTTTGGGCCATAATATGACGCCTAGGCCTGTTTTTATTTTTATTTTTTTTTTTGCCCGCCCGCTCCATTATTTTTCTAGAAAAATCCTGTAACCAAGAAATTAAATTGTTGTGGCCTTATCTGAAAAGTGACTGCCCAAGGCGGGACATTTATCTGGCTATATTATGTAGTATCTACACCAGGTGTTGCCTCTGCTGGAATGGTGATACAGTATAATTTGGATATCAGTTGTTTGAAACCTGCTGTTTGAAAATCCAGCTTAAAACCACCCAGTGCACAAGCTTCAGACTCATATCTGCCTCTATAATTTAGCAATTTCTAAACGTAGTAATATAAGAAACCAGGCTGTTACCTGCTGTTCTAAAATCCAGCTTGAAACCACTCAGTGCACAGAACTTCACACTCATATCCAACTATAATTTACGAGTAGCAATTTCTAAACGTAGTACAGTAATATGAGAAACCAGGCTGTTACTTGCTATTCTAAAATCCAACATGAACCAACCTAGTGCACAAACTTCACACTCATATCCACCTATATCCTGCCTCTGGACTAAGAGGTTGGGAGTTCGAATCCCGGCTGATGTCGCTCACCCGACATGCACGCTACTGTTTAGGGTCGCAGTCCTTAGGACGGGACGTTAAGCCATGGTCCACTGTTCATTGCGCTTGTCGAAAAGAGCTAGGAGAATTTCCCCGGTACAATGAACCAGTCCTGTCAATACTGTACATAGCATCTGACTTCTCTGTCACGACCAGTGGAAGATTAGCTCTTCAATGAGCTTAACTGGTTCGAGATCAAATTTCACTTTCTTTTTATAATAAAAAAATCCAAGACCATAGCATGTGTAAGACAAAAGATACAAAAAAACAAAAGTTCTGCTGCAGTACCAAGGTCAGCCACCAGGAGGCCTATATTTGACCTTGACCTTTGTCTTCCTATGATCTACCAACATACCAAATATCATAACAATCCATAAAGGCGTTCTGACGTTATGCTGACTACAATTTGCTGAAACATACACACACACACGCACACACACACACAGACACACACACACACACACACACACACACACACACACATAGACACACACCAAAAACAATACCTCCATTTTTCACGGAGGTAAATAACCCATACTCTCTCACCTTGAGTGGTTTGGGTTCTGGTCCG